GAGGGCCTGAAGAGCAGCAGCTGTAACATCAACCATCCCATCTTCCAAGAGGGCACTAAGGTGAGTGCCTTCCCCCAGATCCTCATCACTCTTTGCCCTTGTCCTGACACATTTCTTTCCCTTCTTCCTCCATGACCTTCCTTATTCCCATTCCTTGTTTCTTCTTCTCTCAGGGCACCTTCATAGTCACATTTGATGTCTCCTACAAGGCCACCCTGGGCAACAAGTTGCTTCTGAGGGCCAATGTAAGCAGGTGAGGTGAGGTGTATCCCTCACTCTTTCATCTCATGCCCCAGCCAGAGACTTTTCTCCTGGATTCCTTCCCAATGAGGCTCCCCTCCCTCCCTCTCTCTCTCTCTCTCTCTCTCACTCTCTCTTTCTGTCTCTCTCCAGTGAGAATAATAAACCTACAACCAGCAAGACCACCTTTCATCTGGAGCTCCCAGTGAAATATGCTGTCCACATGGTGATCAGCAGGTCTGAACCTTTGACTCTCCTATAATCCTAGTACCTCCGCTTGAAGCCCAGACTGCTCTTTAAAGGATAGGTATCTGAACTAGCCCTCTAATTCCTCACATGGGAATACTTGTGCCCAGTCATATATTTATGCCATAACAACATACACACAATATACTTCTTGCTTCTTCTCCGATGAATTGACCTACTGGTGGGACACACACACTTTGCCACCCCTCTGCACTCCTCCCTCTCTCTCCAAGGTGCAGGCTTCCTTAAACATGAAGCCCATTGTATTCTTCATGTAAATATGAGTGTGCTGAAGTGAAACTAACTAGATTAAGATTGAGGCTTTTATGAGCACTCTGAAGTGGGAGATATTGTTTGTCACCACACAGAGGAAAGAAAAGGTCAAGGTTTCACAACACAAAGAGGAGGCCAGAGATGTGACAAACTGCTGGGAAAGTCTCTAAGAGTCCAAGGCTGTGGCAGGCCACAGGAAAGTCAAGTGCAGGGCTGTTGCTCTCAGTTCTGAAGGTGCGTGGTGGAGCATGGGCAGGCCAGGCTGGAAGCAGGGCAAGGAGACCCACATAACCTGGCTAAACTCCAGAGGTGCAGAGAGGTGGTCAGAAGCTTATAATATTGCCATGGGACAGAGTTTGCTACTGTTGTTGCTGCCGATGACACATGAATTTTTAGGGGAACTAGGGAGGGAGGATCAATGTCATTGCCCTTCCAAACTCCATGTATGAATTTCCTCTACTGTCCATGGGAAAATAGTGGAACTTATATTAAGAGCTTACAGTTATATATACTTATATGTCCGATATTTAAAAAGTACTTTACATGTATTTACATTCATTTAACCCTTCTAAAAACTCTGTGATATAGTTATTGTTAAACGCCCTTTTTTACCAACAAAGAAATCAAGAGGTTGTTCCTGTCAGTCAGCTGCTAAGTGGCAGAACCAGGACTCAAATTCAGATGGTCTGGCTCCAGAGCTTGTACTCATGCCCATACACTACTATGCCTTTCCGAGGATTGGGGAAACTGAGGGATTTACTCAAATTTGAAAAGAGAGTTAGAACTGGAAGATTTTAAGGTGAGAAAACTGAAGCATAGAAAGGGTTGGAGTGAGGAACATAAAGGCTACCACAGTAAGGGAAAAAAATAAATTCTAACATTTATATCATGCTGTAGACTTCATCACAGCTCTGTCACAGGCACTATTATTAGCATCCTTATTTTATACAGGAAGAATCCACAGAGGTTAAGTAACTTACCTTCAGTTACTTGGGTAGAAAGTGGTAGACTGAAATGTGAACCCAGATGGTCTGGCTCCAAGCCTGTGTTGTTAATCATCACACTGACAGTTACATCTGTGGGAAACTGTGTGGGGCCCATGGAGTTTCTGTATGCTGCCCTGGCTTCTGTACACTAGGTGCTGGTGAAATGTGCAGCATCCCTGCTTGTTGGCTTGATTCCACTGAGACCTTAGATGTTAAGTCTGGGAAGGCAGGGATTATGGCTTGTTAACTGTTGAATCCCCAGAGCCAAGCACACAGCCAGGTATAGGGTAAATGTTTACTGAAGGAGGCAATACATAGATGGATGGATGGATGGATGGATGGATGGAAAGCCACCTGAAGCCTGGAACATTTATGTCCACTCCAGGGGCTTGTATTCATGCACCATCCTTCCTCACATTTACTTTACTGCCCCAGGATAGCCACATCTCTTTTCTTCACTCCATTATGGAGGGGCTTGCACTACATTTTTTCCCAGGCGATCCAGCTATGATTTCCTCGAGTCCCTTTAGGCTTATTTGTTCTGGCTATAGCTTCTGCAAGCATTGCTGGAGGCCAGCAATATACCTAGTAGAGGAGAAAGACATGTGAACAGCTTTTTCCCATGGGAAAATGATTAAATGTTATGAGAGATAATGTTTAAGTTGGGGCTTTTAAGTAAAAATTTCCAAAAGGGGAGTGGTAAGGATATTCCAAGCAAAAGAAAGAACTTGAACAAAGCTATGGGGAAGTGAAAGAGCCAGGGTATCAAAGGACAAGGTATCAGTTCTGGGTGACTGGGGCAAATGCTATGGGAGAGGAGCTGAAGCTGAGGCTGCAGAAGCATGTGGGGATCATAATTATTTCACGGGATCATCTGCGTGGGAGGCCCAATAGAGCCCTTAGCAGCAGACTGGGGCACAACTAAGGATGGCTCCAGAGCTGTTTCTCACCAACAAGTCCTCTCTCCCCAGGAAGGAAGAATCTACCAAGTACTTCAACTTTTCAACTTCTGATGAGAAAAGTAAGAAAGAAGCTGAGCATCGTTATCATGTGAGAAGCCGGGGAGCATCCATATCTTCCCTCCCGTGGTGCTGCTAATGTTGGGAGCTGCTGGGAGAAAGAGGAGCTGAGGGCTAGATCCAGGAAAGAAGTAGGATTTGGGATGCTCCCAGGACCACAATAATGTTCTGTCTCAATTTTCTGCAGGTGAATAACCTGAGTCAGCGAGACGTGACCGTCAGCATTAATTTCTGGGTTCCTATCCTGCTGAATGGTGTGGCTGTGTGGGATGTGGCTGTAGTGGCCCCTTCACAGGTATCTGCTTGCCTTTCTAACTCTCCAGAGTCTGATCCTACAGTGCCTCACACCCTCTTACCAGTGAAATGTTGATCATTCTGTGGCTGTTTCTCTCTCAGTAGAGTCTCCCATGTGTGTCGGAGAGGGAACCTCCCCAGCATCCTGACTTCCTGGCCCAGATTCCAGGGAGTCTTGTACTGGTGAGAAAGACCCTGGATTCCCATTGCAGGACCAAGTGCCTAGAAATGCACTTGCTAGGTTGGAGATCTATATATATGACCTATAATCACCATCTATTCCCCAACCCCAAACCTGATGGACTTCATTTTCTCCTGTGGTTCTTGCCTAAGTTAAGACCCTCCTCAACTTCATTCCTCCCCTGTCTCTAGAACTGCTCCATTGCTGACTGCCTGAGGTTCCACTGTGACCTCCCCTCCTTTGGCATCCAGGAGGATGTTGACTTCATCCTGAAGGGCAACCTCAACTTTGGCTGGGTCAGCCAGGTGTGTAGGCCCAACAGCAGAGTCCCTCCCCTGGATTTGGGTGGTACCAGATGTGTCTGTGCCCATCCTGAAGCCAGGAGATTTCTCAAACTCTGAGCCTCTTCTTAGGGCTATTTCCCCAGCTCTGTCCCTGTGTATTGCAGACATTGCAGAAGAAGGTATTGGTGGTGAGTGTGGCTGAAATCACATTCAACAGATCCGTGTATTCCCAGCTTCCAGGACAGGAGGCATTCTTGAGAGCTCAGGTAGGGACTATGTGGTAGGAGTGGCCAGGCTGGTAAGAGGGCTCCTATTGCTAAATCTCTGATGCTGTGTGGGAGGCTCAGAAGCCTGGAGGGAGGCAGGATGAAGGCCCCTCCGCAGGAGAGTTGTCCCTAAGTCCATAGTATTTCTGTATCTCACCCCTTGAGCAAAGGAAGGAGGGGTGGCCCTTAAAGGTTGGGGAACCTGGGAAGAGTCTGGGACAACAAGGAATCTGATACTGTCTCATTCACAAATTAGACGGCGATGGTGCTTGAAGCGTATGAGGTCTATGATCCTGTTCCCTTCATCGTGGGCAGCTCTGTGGGAGGACTGCTGCTCTTGGCTCTCATCACAGCCATCCTGTACAAGGTGAGTGTCTTCATCCCACTCTCAACACTACCAGTATCTAACCCAAGCCCTTCCAGAGACAGGATGGTATAGTGGGAAGAACTCAGACAATGGAATCAGATAAGCCTGTGTGTACATTTTGGCTCTATTCTGCTCACTCTTTAAAGTCAGGCAAATTGCTCAACGTCTCTAAGCTTGTAGCCTCATTTTTTAAATGACTAATGCCTACATTACAGAGTAGCTGAAGTGAGACAGAAATGAAGCCAGGGTATGTGTGTAGGCCTGCTTATTAATTTATGCTTTTCTACTATAGCTTTTATGCATAACTGCTGTGCTTGCACACAGTAGATAATACATGATAGCTGTTATTCATATAAGTGTTCTGCCACACAAATACGAGTCAGCTTATTTCTCTTCTCATCTTCTCTCTCAACTTCTTCCTACTCCCAACTGTCTTCCCTGCCCTCTTACCCAGCTCTTCTGATTTACTTCCCTTCACAGCTTGGCTTCTTCCAACGTCAGTACAAAGAAATGCTGGATAACAAACCTGAAGACACTGCCACATTCAGTCAGGAGGATGTCAGCTGTGAGGCCCCAAATTTTCCTTTGTCCTACTAATTCACTTTTCTGTTTGTCTCTACCCCCATGGACTGGTCTTGCCTTTGCCTACAAATCTACTTCCATGGGAAAAATTTCTGAATAGATCTGGACTTGTCTGAGCAACTTATCAGGTGCTAAGCCAACTTCTCAAGGCAATGAAAGGTTTTTATATTTTAATATATTTGTCAGTTCTTCAGTAATGACTCACTTTTTACAGAAGCAAACATGAAGCCAGCATGAATTTTCATATATATATAAAGAATTGCCACATTAAATGAGGATGTTTATAACACATTCTCCTTGTATGAAAGAGCTCTAATTCAGGGATCTGAGTCCTGTTCTAGGAAGAGTTGGGGGAAACTGCTTGTGGGCCTAGAAAACATTCTCTCAGTTTTTCAGGTGACTGAGGCCTGAGATAATCTTTTCTTAATGGTGCCATGAGTAATATTAGGGGAGAAGCCAAAGGAAGAACTCTATGTGTGTGTTGCTCATGGGGCTCAGCACAGGCTTGAGGCTCCTTGGTAATGGCAAATGAGCAGAATGTCCTAGGAGGGGAGTGAAATGTCCTGAACATGTTTGAACCAATATTCCCCTTGAATGAGGTCCCCAAAGACTGGGAGAGCCAGGCTTCCAAAAAGGAGCATCTGATGTCCCAGACAATACAGAAGACCCATTAAAGGTGGTCATAGAGAATGGCTGAAATATTCCAAATCCAAAATTAGGTCATGAAGCCTCACACATAGGGCTGTAGGTCCTCTATTTGATATCACGGTTGTCTCCAGAAAGCCAGAATTCACAAATACTGTCAGTGTGTCAGGCAAAAAGTTGTCTGCAGCCCTGAGTTATCAGGGGACTTCTGAGGAGGGGCCTCATTTAAGTCATTTAATCTCTGAGAATCTCAATTCCTCCTCTAGAGAATGGGAACCAAAATTATATCTTGTTCCCAGAGATACTGTGAGGATTCAGTGTTATGTGAAAGACCTTTACAGCCTAGAGCCCTAATTATTAATAGGTGAGAGAAAAGGTGTGGGGATGAAGATCTCCTACCTAGTCATCAAGGACATTCCCCTGAGCACCTCCCAAATTATGGCCTTGGGAAGAGCAAGCGGAGCACAGACTGCACTGTGCACCTGCGCCCAGTAGAGCTCCTCGGTCCCCACCACACCCCATGGTCCCCAGGGAGTCTGCGGACACACAGCTTCCACACCTTTATTGCGCCTGGTGGCATCTGCCTGGGCCTCAGGGCTGTTCATAGCCAGTGGGCAGAGGGTTGACACGGGGATTGTGGAAAAGGGTGTGGTTGCCGTCTCCCCAGGAGTAGGGCTGTGAAGAAAGGGAGAGCGGATTGTCAGCGTGGTCTGGGCCTGGGGGTTCCAAGGCCCCTTCTCCCCCTCCCCCGCACCCTTTGCCCATCTGACCCTCCCTCCCGCCCTGCGGGCAGAGGCCTCAGGCCAACGTACCTTGGTGCGGATACGGAGGTGGTGGTAGGGGATAAACTTAGGGCGTTCGTGGTGGCCCGCGTGGAGCCAGGAGTTGAGGGTGCAGAGGGCCACACTCGGCAGTGCCAGCACGAAGGTCAGGAGGCGCCAGGTGCTGGCTGCAGAAGGAGGGGGTAAGCAGAGATGAAAGAGAAGTGGGGAGGCCAGGGCCTCTGAAGGTCAGAGTGGGAGGGTTGGTCAGTGAGGGCCTGGTCAGACCCTGGAAGACCACACAGGTGGGAGAGAGGTACAAGTAGGCAAGCCACAGGGTCAGGTCCCAGCCCTACTCACCTCCTGCCCCTCCATGGTCTCCCTTTGCTGCACTTGCCAAGCCCCGACTCAAGGACCTCAGAGGCAGAGCCATTGCGGTGGGTGAGAGAAGCTGGAAACTGCACTGTCTTTTCACTCTCCTTCACCGAGGCCTAGATTCTCCTCCCCTCTTTTTGGACCAATCACCTGTTGAGTCTGTAACATGGGTAGCTATTTTTAGGGGTTTTCTATATTTAAAATGAGGCCTTACTGCCATGAGGTCCTTCTCTCCAGACAGCTGCTGTTTGGTACCTCTTATTTTGGTAAGGGACACTTAAAAAAACCAATGTGCCATTCTTTTTATAGTTGCAGGGAACTATTTCCTTCAATACCCTATTCCCAGTGGCTGGCACACATTAGGTCTTTAATAACTATTTGTAGAATGAATTAAGTGTTCTTTTGAATCTCAGTTTTTTCATCTGTACAATGTATAATAATTTATACCTTAAATGAAGTTTATGAAATTTAAGTAAAGTAACAGGAATATGCCAGCTTAGTGTCTGGCATGAAACAGTAGCTCAGTATATGTATTAGTTACGGTTCTTTGCAAAGAACATAACTCACTCTAATTGGTTTTAAAAAGATAAGCAATTGAAAATCAGGTAGCTCAAAGTGTCTCTGGTATGGCCAGAGAAGCCAATAATCTGTGCAGCCAGAAGCAAGCTACTCTATGGGCCAGCTGCCGTGAGACACCACCACAATTTGCACTACTGGACTCCAGATGCCAAAAACTTCACCCATGCTGCTCTGGAAAGCCAGATTCTTCTACCCTAACATCCTTCTTCATGAAGCTTGCATCCTTGAGTTGATGTCTTCTGAATCAGAGAATCATGTGTGCCCCAGTTGACAATAACTAGGTCATTGCCTATGCTCTAACTTCAAGAAAGGCTGGGAAATTGAGTTCTGCCTTCTACCTTAAGGAGGCAAGAATTCTATCTTGGAGAAAATCCCCAAGTATAAGAAACATATTCAAAAGATACTGGGTAGCCACAGACTTGACAAGTCTCTACTGCTAAGTATATTATTCAATCTGAAAAATCTGACTACTTAGAGGAAAAAGAAGAAAGCCTAGGGAGACTTGTATAAGCCCTTTGTCAAAGTCAGTCACTAGAAAGCTACAAGATAGTGCAGGGCTAATTTCTGCCTGGTGCACTGTTCTGTCCTCTGCACTAGCACAAAACCTGGCATGAAATAGTTGTTCTAAAAATATGTTTTTATTGAATGCTTCAACCATGTTACATTAGTTAACCCTATATAAATGCCTTTGCAGAACCATAAGCCAACAGGATGCCTCCAGCTTTGATCAGGACTGATGTAACTAATATGAATTTAATATATAAAAGAAAAATGAATTTTTCTACTTAATCTGAATATAGAAAAGAAAAATGGAAAATGTACATTTTTAGGTAGGGGCTGCTCCATAACTATTCCTCCTGTTGGTTTGAAACTGAACACTAGCTTCTACTTAACTTTCTGAAGCTTTTTTAAAAGTAACCTTGTTGAACAGTCAAATGTTATAGTGCTTCTGAATTATTCCAGAGCCCTCAATGAGCTATAATGGAATTCTTCCTATGATTGATATTTCCCAGTTGGAGTTTGGACTTGTTGCTGAGAAGATGGGCCTTAAAGGTACATGGCATACAGTCCCCTCAGCTTATGATTATGGCTTTTTTTTATACATTTAAAAAAAATTTTTATTATGTTATGTTAGTCACCATACAATACATCATTAGTTTTTGATGTGGTGATCCACGATCCATTGTTTTTGTAGAACACCCAGTGCTCCATGCAGTACGTGCCCTCCTTAATACCCAGCACCGGGCTAACCAATCCCCCCCCCCCCCCCCCCTCCCCTCTAACCCCCTGTTTGTTTCTCAGAGTCCATAGTCTCTCATGGTTTGTCTCCCCCTCCGATTCCCCCCCATGTTTCCCTTCCTTCTCCTAATGTCCTCCATGCTATTCCTTATGTTCCACACATAAGTGAAACCATATGATAATTGACTTTCTCTGCTTGACTTATTTCACTGAGCGTAATCTCCTCCAGTCCCATCCATGTTGATGTAAAAGTTGATATTCATCCTTTCTGATGGCTGAGTCATATTCCATTGTATGTATGGACCACATCTTCTTTATCCATTCATCTGCTGAAGGGCATCTCGGCTCTTTCCACAGTTTGGCTATTGCAGACATTGCTGCTATGAACATTGGGGTGCATATGGCCCTTCTTTTCACTACATCTATGTCTTTGGGGTAAATACCCAGGAGTGCAATTGCTGGGTCATAGGGTAGCTCTATTTTTAAATTTTTGAGGCACCTCCACACTGTTTTCCAAAGTGGCTGTACCAACTTGCATCCCCACCAACAGTGTAAGAGGGTTCCCCTTTCTCCACAACCTCTCCCTCTCTGAAGAAGACATACAAATGGCTAACAGACACATGAAAAAATATTCATCATCATTAGCCATCAGGGAAACCCAAAACAAAACCACATTGAGATACCACCTTACACCAGTTAGAATGGCAAAAATGGACAGGGAAAGAAATAACAAATGTTGGAGAGGTTGTGATTATGGCTTTTGAAGAAAGGAAATGACCAAGACTGTTTTTACTTGAAAACATTCAAAAGGACCCAAATAAATAAAATCATGAATGAAAGAGGAGGAATCACAACCAACACCAAAGAAATACAAACAATTATAAGAACACATTATGAGCAACGATATGCCAGCAAATTAGACAATCTGGAAGAAATGGATGCATTCCTAGAGATGTATAAACTACTAAAACTGAACCAGGAAGAAATAGAAAACCTGAACAGACCATAACCACAAACAAAATTGAAGCAGTAATCAAAAATCTCCCAACAAACAAGAGTCCAGGGTCAGACAGCTTCACAGGGAAATTCTACCAAACATTTAAAGAAGAATTATTACCTATTCTTCTGAAACTGTTCCAAAAATAGAAATGGGAGGAAAACCAAACCCATTCTATGAAGCCAGCATTTCCTTGATCCCAAAAACAGACAAAGACCCCATCAAAAGGAGAATTACAGACTAATATCCTTGATGAACATGGATGCAAAAATTCTCACCAAAATAGTAGCCAATAGGATCCAACAGTACATTAAAAGGATTAATCACCACAAACAAGTGGGATTTATTCCTGGGCTGCAAGGTTGGTTCAACATCCGCAAATCACTCAGTGTGATAGAATACATTAATAAAAGAAAGAACAAGAACCCTATGATCCTCTCAATAGATGCAGAAAAAGCATTTGACAAAGTACAGTATAGTTTCTTGGGATGGGACTACTCTTCACAGTGTAGGGATAGAGGGTACATACCTCAATATCATAAAAGCCATCTATGAAAAACCCACAGTGAATATCATTTGCAATGGGGAAAAACCGAGAGCTTTCCCCCTAAGGTCAGGAAGACGGCAGGGATGTCCACGATCACTACTGCTATTCAACATAGTATTAGAAGTCCTAGCCACAGCAATCAGACAACAAAAAGAAATAAAAGGCATCTGAATTGGCAAAGAAGAAGTCAAACTCTCACTCTTTGCAGATGATATGATACTTTAAGGAGTCCACCCCAAAACTGCTAGAACTCATACAGGAATTTAGTCAAGTGGCAGGATATAAAATCAATGCACAGAAATCAGTGGCATTTCTATACACCAACAACAAGACAGAAGAAAGAGAAATTGATGAGTCAATCCCACTTACAATTGCACCCAAAACCATAGATACCTAGGAATAAATCTAACCAAAGAGGCAAAGAATCTGTACTCAGAAAACTATAGAATACTCATGAAAGAAATTGAGGGAGACACAAAGAAATGGAAAAATGTTCCATGCTCATGGATTAGAATAACAAATATTGTGAAAATGTCTATGCTACCTAGAGCAATCTACACATTTAATGCAATCCCTATCAAAATACCATCAACTTCTTTCAAAGAAATGGAACAAATAATCCTAAAATTTGTATGGAACCAGAAAAGGCCCCAAATAGCCAGAGGAATGTTGAAAAAGAAAACCAAAGCTGGAAGCATCACAACTCTGGACTTCAAGCTCTATTACAAAGGTATAATCATCAAGACAGTATGGTACTGGCACAAAAACAGACACACAGATCAACGGAACAGAATAGAGAGTCCATAAATGGACCCTCAACTCTGTGGTCAACTAATCTTTGACAAAGCAAGAAAGAATGTCCAATGGAAAAAAGACAGTCTCTTCAACAAATGGTGTTGGGAAAATTGGACAGCTACATGCGGAAGAATGAAACTGGACCATTTCCTTACACCACACACAAAAATAGACTCAAAATGGATGAAAGACCTAAATGTGAGACAGGAATCCATCAAAATCCTTGAAGAGAACACAGGCAGCAATCTCTTCGACCTCAGCTGCAGCAACTTCTTCCTAGAAACATTGCCAAAGGCAAGGGAAGCAAGGGCAAAATGAACTATTGGGACTTCATCAAGATAAAAAGCTTTCGCACAGCAAAGGAAATAGTCAACAAAAGCAAAAGACAACCGACAGAATGGGAGAAGATATTTGCAAATGACATATCAGATAAAGGGGTCGTATCCAAAATCTATAAAGAACTTATGAAACTCAACACCCAAAGAACAAAAAATCCAGTCAAGAAATGGGCAGAAGACATGAACAGACATTTCTGCAAAGAAGACATCCAAATGGCCAACAGACACATGAAAAAGTCCTCAACATCACTTGGCATCAGGGAAATACAAATCAAAACTACATTGAGATATCACCTCACACTAATCAGAATGGCTAAAATTAACAAGTCAGGAAATGACAGATGTTGGCAAGGATGAGGAGAAAGGGGAACCCTCCTACACCGTTGGTGGGAATGCAAGCTGGTGCAGCTGCTCTTGAAAGAAGTATGGAGGTTCCTCAAACAGTTGAAAATAGAGCTACCTTATGACCCAGCAATTTCACTACTGGGTATTTACCCCAACGATACAAATGTAGTGATCTGAAGGGGCATGTGCACCCCAATGTTTATAGCAGCCATGTCCACAATAGCCAAACTATGGAAAGAGCCTAGAGGTCCACCAACAGATGAA